AAGAAGTATTGTTGTTCATCTCTTAGTGTGCCTAATTTATAAATTAAACTTCATCCCAGGTATGTAAATATATAGGAAAAAACTTAGTATATATGGGGTTCAGTACTATCTGCACTTTCAGACATCCACTAAGGGTCTGGGAACATATCCCCTGTGGACAAGGTGGAGGGGGGTGCCTATTGTAACTACAAATTACTATGGTGAAGTTAATTTATTTGACTCAAGCCAATAAATGGTGACGTATACTGAGACAGGAATTTTAACTCTCCTTGCCCATCCTTCCTTTTCTGTCAGACTTTATTGTTGAAGCATGTGACAGAACTATGACTTTGTAATTAAGGCAATAATGAGATTTCTCTGTTATAAGCTATTACTAACACTTGCTACAATTCATCTAGTTCTGCCACAAAGCTTTTTTTGCTTACCAGAAAATTCTCATGTATAGTCTCAAGCAAGCAAGAAATATTTTGGGAAAGTCTGAAGACAAGAATAATTAGGTCTTATGAAGCACATTATGCAATTTTTCTCTAAAGAACACTTCACAAATAAATCCAAGATAAAACAGACCTGAATATACTTTCAAAATATAGGTAAAAAATACACATACTATACTTGAAGTTCTGGAATTCAAGTCTCTTAAAGAAGGAAGGAAGGAAATTGCACAGTAACAACACAATTCATTATTGCTCCTTCCAGGACTCCAACATTAGTAAGACTTTCATAAAATTTAAGGGACTGTGGCCAGAGGAGGCTGTCAAACTTTTTATCTAAGTGACCATTTTTAGAAAATAATTAAGGACAAGCAAAGAACACTTTGTATTATCTAGTCTAACTGAATTCTCCATTTCCCTTTAGTTAAAAGACAGTAACATACCTCATGTTTATTTAAAAGTTGTTTACAAAACCCTTTTTCATGTTATTATTTCAAACTAACAACTCATTGCTGAGTATCTATAATGCAGCAGACACTGTGCTCCATCCTGCAGGCTTTGGCTCAAAGTACACGGAGTTATGTGGAGGAGTCAGACATACAAGCAAGTGGGGGATTACAGTAGAGTGCAACAGGGCTGGAAGAGTGGGCCAAAGCACTAAGGGAGTGAGTGTATGACTACTGGTAAAGGTCATATTTGAACTGGGTTTCAAGACCCAAACATGACTGTATCGAATGAGGAGACTTTTGATGCAAATAACTCCAAAGAAATGGCTTCAACAATAAGGAATTTATCTGTCAGGTGGAGAAATCCCATGGAAGAGAAAGCCCCAGGCCCCAGTACAGTATGTCTAAAATGATGTTATCACGGACGTACATTCATTCTCTCTGATCTTCCATCTTCCAGGCATGCTTCATCATCCCTTGTGGTCACAAGACAGCTGCAAGTGGCAACTGGGGTCATCCATTCTCTTGTTTATATATAATAAGGGAAAAAGTCCTCTCCCCCAGAAATAGAATGTGTCCTTCCCTTCAAACTGACTGGGACAAATAACAGTTTACAGGGAAATGTCTTGAACTGACTAGCTTGGAGTAATCAAAATCTACCCCTGGAGTTGGTGATGAATCATCTCAGAGTCTCCTGGATAACAAAGAAAAAGAACTCCAAGCACTGGGATAAACACATGAAAAACAGAAGCACAGGAAACAAGAAACAGCTTGGTATGGCTGGAGTGATGGGAAATCTAAGGTTGGACACGGTCTACAAACTCTCGTGAGCTTGGACTTTATCCTATAAGTAATGAGAAGTTAACACAGGTTTTTTAAGTAGGAAGATAACATGCCTGAATTTATTTATTTTTTTTTAAGAAACAAATGTGGTAGCAATATAGAGAATAGAGAAGGAACGGAAGAGTGGAGAACAAATGGCAGAGACGTTGGTAGGCTGTTCAATAAACAGTTCACTGGTAAGAAGTGGTGACAGGAAGGGAAAGAATTGAATAGCAAACAGGAGATGGTAAAGCTGCTTTGTAAAACATTGTATATTTCTGTGTAACACACACACACACACACACACACACACACACACACACACACACACACACGGAAAATTAAGCCCCAGACAGGTTAAATGGTTTGCTTAAAATCACAAATCTATAAGCAGTAGTCAGAATCTGAACAGAGGTTTTATTCTCAGTCCAATGTTCTACCTAAAAACTCCAACAATGCTCAAAAAACTTTTTTTTTTTTTTTAAAGATTTTATTTATTTATTTGACAGAGAGAGACACAGCGAGAGAGGGAACACAAGCAGGGGGAGTGGGAGAGGGAGAGGCAGGCTTCCTGCCGAGCAGGGAGCCCGATGCGGGGCTCGATCCCAGGACCCTGGGATCATGACCTGAGCCGAAGGCAGACGCTTAATGACTGAGCCACCCAGGCGCCCACAAAAAACTTTTTTGAATTCTGTGATGTAAAGGATGCTCTAGTGATTCCTATTTATTCCAACCTTAACATAATGTTCACTACATGGATTCACTATCAATTTACTTAGCAGTACATTATACATTTTTGAAGTTTCTATGTTATTTGATAGTGAGGATGTTGTGAAAACTCAATTTGTAATGTCAAATTTACAGACTGTCAAAGGATTCTAAAAACCACTGCAGTTTGCATTAAAAGAATTTTGAACTTGTTTTGCAAATAAACTAGGTACTGAATATTTGAAATGCATTATAAATCTGGAGCCAACAGGCACCTGAAAAGTTTCTTCTAAGTTATGCCTCCCTTTGAAATTTTGGATTCTGATAACCAACTTCCACTATCATCAATTTGAAAGATGTTGCCTCACTTTTAAAGACACTTGTTTTAGAAAAAGTCACTTACCTGTTTGTTTTTACAGCGGTGAAGTCTGATTTTGTTTGGTTACCAATGTACCGAGACTGGATTAACAGGGAAGATGGTTTAAAATAAAAATAAATGTTTTCCATTAAAAAATTATAAGCAAAAATACAGTTTTTAGCTTATTGGCTTAAATCTTAAGTCTGCTTCTGAATTCAATGAATAACTATAGGGAGCATCTGTGTGCCTGGCACTATGTTAGATGCTGGGAATACAGCTGTGAACAAAATCATACTATAGTCATTCAGGCATATATTTGTATGATTATTTGATTAGTGTCAGTCTTCCCTACTGAATTAACTATAGTACTATTTTTCTTCAGCCAAAACATAACTGCAAATGTACACAGATGATGCCTAAAACATCAACTGGGCATTAACGTGTTATTTTGCTGATGACAGCAGAATTTTCTCTGTCACCAGGCTAGAGACACTCTCAGCACCCATAACTGAGTTTTTTTCTCTTTCATTAAAACATACCTGCTAAAACACTCAGCTAATCAGGAATATAAGAACACTATTTCAATACAATAAAGGAAAACCCACAGCTATCATCATACTGAATGGTCACAGATTGAAAGTTTTTCCTCGAAGATCAGGAGAAGACAAGGATGTATATTTTCACTTGTATTCAATATAGTTATGGAAGTCCTAGCCAGAACAATTAGGCAGGGAAAAGAAATAAAAGGCACTTCTTACTGGAAGGAAGAAGTAAAATTATTTTTGTTCAAAGACATTATCTTACGTGTAGAAAATTCTAGATTACACACATACACACACACACACATACATCTGTTAGAATAAATGCTTTCAGTAAAGCTGCAGGATAAAAAGTTAACACACAAAAATGAGCTGTGTACATTAACAATGCATAATCCAAAAAGGAAATTAAGAGATCAATCCTATTTGTGATAGTATCAAAAAAATAAAATACTTAGGAATAAACTTAACCAAGTAGATGAAAGATTTTTACACTGAAAACCACAAAATGTTGTGGGAAGAAATTAAAGATACAAATAAATTGAAAGATATCTGGTGTTTATGGACTGTGAGACCTAATATGTCAATACACTCCAATCTATAAATTCAATGCAATCCCTATTAAAAAAATCCCAATGGTTTTTTTTTTTTTTTTTTTTTTTTTGCAAAAATTGAAAATTCCACCCTGGAATTCATTTGGAATCTCAAAGGACCACAAACAGCCAAAACAATCTTGAATTAGAACAACGTTGGAGGTCTCACACTTCCAGATTTCAAAAATTACTATAAAGCTACAGTAATCAAAACAATGTGATACTGGCATAAAGACAGACTCACAGACCAATAGAATAGAGAGTTCAGAAATAAACCCTTGCATGGTATAATCAAGTCATTTTCAGTAAGGATGCCAAAACCATTCAATGGAAAAACACAGTTTTTCAACAAATGGTGCTGGGAAAACTGGATATCTGCATGCAAGGACCTAAACGTAAGAGTTTTTTAGGGAGAAAGCTTCGTAACTTTGGATTCGGCAATGATTTCTTGGATGTAACACCAAAACATAAGCAACAACAACAAAAAAACTATGTAAGTTGGACTTCACCAAAATGAATCAAAGGCCACTCAACAGAGTGAAAAGGTATGCATGGAATGGCAGATATATTGCAAATCCTCTATCTGATCAGGGATTGATATCCAGAATATATAAAGAATTCCTACAACTCAACAAAAAAGCAAACAACTAGATTAAAAAATGGTAAAAGAACTTAATAGCAGGGCGTCTGGGTGGCTCAGCTGGTTAAGCGTCTGCCTCTGGTTCAGTTCATGAACCCAGGGTCCTGGGATCCAGCCCTGCATGGCCCTGCATTGGGCTCCCTGCTTGGTAGGGAGCCTGCTTCTCCCTCTCTCTCTGCCGCTCCCCCTGCTTGTGCTCTCTCACTCTGTCAAATAAATAAATAAATCTTCAAAAAAAAGAAAAGAACTTTATAAGGTATTCCTTTTTTTTTTTGAAAGTAGAAAATTTAGTAATACTATTACAATATGGCATGAGACATCAAATAATTAATGGTTACTGAGTATTTGAAGAATCTGGAAAATATGGTGCCCTCAGTCACCAGTAATCAGATCCCTGAAGTGTTTGTTTAATCATTTCATGTATTTGTGCAAGTACTGTGCACAATGAAGTGACCAAGACACACAACAGTCCAAATGCTTCATGAATTTGCATGTCTTCCTTGCGCAGGAGCCATGCTAATCTTCTCTGTATCATTCCAATTTTAGTATATGTGCTGCTGAAACAAGCACAATAGATATTTCTCCAAAGAAGATATACAAAAGGCTGGTACACACAAGAAGAGATTAAACATTAGGGAAATACAAATCAAAACTAAAATGGGGGCACCTGGCTGGTTCCGACGGTGGAGCATGTGACTCGTGGTCGTAGTTGTGAGTTTGAGCCCCATGTTGAGTGTAGCAATTACTTAAAAAAATTAAGTTAAAAAAAAAACTACAATGATAAACTACTTTACACCCATTTGAATAGCTATTACCAAAATAACAGAAAACAACACGTGTTGGTGAGAATGTGGAGAAATTGGAGCCTCTGTGCATTGCTGGTGGGAATGTAAAATTTGGGGGGTATATACCCCAAAGAAATGAAAGCACAGACTCAAACAGACATTTGTACACTCATATTCATAGCAACATTATTCATAACAGCCAAAAGGTGGACGCAAACCAAGTATCCACTGACAGACAAATGAACAAAAATGGATGTACATACCTACAATGAAATAGCATTCAGCCTTAAGAATGAAGGAAATTCTGACAGATGCTACAACATGAATGAACCTTAAAAACATCATGCCAGTCACAAAAGGATAAAGACTGTATGATTCCACTTACATGAGGTACCTAGAATAGTCAAATTTATACAAACAAAAAGTAGGTAATGGTTGCCAGGGGGCTGGGGGTAAGGGAAATGGAGAGTTAGTGTTTAATAGGTATAGAGTTTCAGGAGGGAGAAATGAAGAGTTCTGGGGATGGGAGGTGGTGATGGTTGCACAACAATGTGTATGTATTTAATGCCACAGAACTATACACTTAAAACTGGTTAAAATGTCAAATTTTATGTTTATGTACATTTTACCACAATAAAAACAAAAACAACACCTGCCATGCATCCTTCCTACGGACTCTATCCTAGCCTAGGTTCTCATCTCTTCCTATTTAGGTAACTGCAACAGCTACTGTCATCGCTGGTTCGTTCCATTCTCTCCTCATTCGAACTCAAACCTGTAGATCACCGACAGGTTCATCTTGCTGGTTTATCACACTAATATTTGGCTTCCAATCTTACAAAGGCTCCCCATATCTTGCCCAAGAAGATGAAAATCCAAATCTCCTCGTGGCCCTGGGTGGCTCAGTCGTTAAGTGTCTGCCTTGGGCTCAGGTCATGATCCCAGAGTCCTGCGATGGAGCCCCACATCAGGCTCCCTGCTCAGCAGGAAGCATGCTTCTCCCTCTCCCACTCCCCCTGCTTGTGTTTCCTCTCTTGCTGTGTCTCTTTCTGTCAAATAAATAAATAAAATCTTAAAAAAAAATCCAAATCTCCTCAATCTAGTACTCAAACCCTTCCAGACAGATATCCTTCCAACTGTGTTTTTTTTTCCTTTTAGTTTCCCAAATCCAGCTGCCAGCTCATCCTAGTTTCCCTCCATTCCCCTCCCCCAAATCTAACCTCCACATCATATTCTGTCGCTTTTCCCTCACAGAGTAACTGCTCCAGTATCTCTGTAAATCTAAACCCTCATAGGCTAGCTCAAGTCCCAAGTGTTCCAGGAAGTTCTTTAGACTCCTGAGGCCTCGCTCATCTCCCTCTAACCAGAACACCTACAGCATTCTTTGTATTAATAGAATGTACTAGATTGTCTCCTAGACTCATAAGGGTACATCTTATCTTTCCTGAGGGCAAAGTCTATATATTACACTTTTTTTTCCTCCTCTCACAACTAATAACGCAAAACACAAAGCAGATTTTCAATAATCATCAGGGTAACTGAACACAAGGTACAACTTTGATATGTGCGTTTCACTGACTAGAACATGATCAGAATCATTTGACATTATTGCATTTCTGAAGGTTAATCTGTGACACACAACAAAGAAAACTGCTGTAATTCAATAAGAAAATACATGGAAACTAGGCAGTATAACCTAGCAAACATGGGTGTTTTAAATCTTAAAATCAGAGTCTGATACAAAACTTGTTTAAATGCTGGTATTGGGGCACAGAACAGAATAGTTAGGCTTTGTGGGACCGAATATTGACTTACGTATGGGTTTTACTGAATGCATGCAAGAATGAGCCATGCCTATAACTGGGTGAAAATATAGTTATAGGCCTATGAAAACTCAAAATGAAATGTCAGTTTTATTAAATTTAGGTTAGGGAAAACAATCTCATCAGTTACTTGTGGTAACTGAGGGTAGCTGTCAGAATCAGAGTGAGGCGCTTTCTCATTTCTGCTTTCAACTTTACCGCACAAAGACCTAGGGATGGGCAACCAGTATTGGTGGTGAAGAATGCAATCAGTGAGGAATAACAGGCTCAGAAGTGTAGTGAGAAGAGCTCTCTAAATGGGGGCGTAGGGAGGCCCAGATCCTAGTTTTGGCCCAATCCCCAGCCAGTTGTAGGACCCACAGCAAGTCATTCATCTCCCTGGGCCTAGTTTCTCAGCTTTAAAACAAGTCATACCAGATCTCTAAAGGTTTTCTGACTCCAAAATTCCAGGACAAGTTTAATCACAGCTTCTATTAACATGTATGATTCTTGCTATTTCAAATCTTTCTTCCACATTTCCGGAAGAAAGTAATGTATTTCAACAATCTAAAAGAAACAGATGCCATTCAGAGACAAAAGATTCTGTTAGTTGAAAAAAACTAAGTAATTCTGTAAAAATGCCTATTTTCTCATGACAATAAGATGTTTTGGCAGAAGGAACATTACTCTGGTAAAGATAACCAAGACTGCTTCTGTAAATTAGGCCTAATCCGGTATTATCTGTATTATCTGTGCTGGTATGCGAAGGGGTGCTATTGTAGTTCAAAGCAGAAACAACACTCCCCAGAGCTTCTCCAAAAAGACGGTGAGAAAGTTCTCATCCTCGGGGTAAGGCTAGTAAACAGCTGTGCAAATGATAAGGCACTGAAAATTCACGCTTTTAGCCATTCAAATACTCCAAGCACAGACTCCTTTATCAAACACCAGGTATTGTCTTCCTCCCAACCTGTCAAAACGCAATTCCAGTTTGATCCCGGAACAGTAACTTACCCGGACGATCTAACTTCTCTCCCCTCCCCGGGCGCAGCCGTCCGCAGGCCTGTTCCCTCCCCTATTCCTGCCGGCCGCTCTCACGCCCACCCCGGGGCGGTCGCAGCACCGCAGCCGGGTAAATACGCGTCCGAGTCTCGGGAGCGGTTTCCCGGCGTCCTGGGAGCGGCGGGTCCCGCCCCTTGAATCCCGGAGCCGGCCAGGCCGCCTTCGCGGCCACCTCGGGCTGCTCTCCCCGCCCCGAGCGCCACACCTCGCGCCTCTGCCCCCGGGACGACGGCGCACAGCCCAGTCTGCCCCTGGGAGCGCACGGGCACCGGTCAGTCCGCCGCCGCCGCCGCCTCAGCCTGAGACCGACGACTGCCCTCTCCCTGCCGGCGGCCTGGCGCCCCCCGCGGCGGCCCAGCCCAAGCCCGGCGCCCCCACCTCCTCGGCACAGCCGCTTCCTTGCCGGGACGCCCCGCGCCGCGCCGGGCACAGCCTCGGCTCCCAGCCTCAGAGACACCGAGGGACACTCACCCCGGAGGTTCCTCCCGCCGCTGCTGCTGCTGCCGCCGCTGGGACCGCGGCCATCGCTCCCGCCGCCGCCACCAGCACCGCCGTCCGCACCGGCGCCAGCACCCCCGGCCATCCTCCTCCTGCCGCCGCCGCCGCCGCCGCCCTCTCCGCTCCTGTCAGTGGTTCAGGCTCCAGGGCTGCTCCAGGTTCCCCTCGCCGCCATTTTGACTCCTAGAGGGAGCAGGAGGGGCTCGGCTCGGCGCGGCCCTGGGGCGCCTGCGCGGCGCTGCGGAGCCGGCCCTAGCCCCCGCCCTTCCCCGCCGTCGCCGCGCCTGCGGTCACATGGGCTCGCGGCGCGCGCGCTCGCGCGCCGGGCCGGGCCGGGCCGGAGAGGCGGGTTCGTGGGCCCCGGCAGCGGTCCAAGCCGAGTGCGCGCGCATTATTCCTTCTCCACTCTGGGGAGCGCAGCGCGGGACGCCCGGAGTTTGAAGCTCGTTGCGACATCCTGCTTCCTTCGGGGAACTGTGACAAATCATTAAATGTATCAGGACGGAATTATAATAACTACGTTACTGGACGATCAGTTCTACCAATTCATGCTGCCATTTGGCCGCCGGCATCCTGATCGATCGCACAGCTTGCGTTCTTGTCAGAGAAGGCAGCGCTTCCGCGGAAAACTCCCTTCTGACAATCTTGGCGTTTCGGCGGCTTCTGGGCAGTTTATCTTCACCTCTGTCTGCGTGGTGCTTTTACAGACAGCACCTTGCTACTTGCCATAGCAGGTTTAAAACAAAAATCTCGAAGAAAAGTTTTCCTCAACAAAATGTCTCCGTAAATGAGGGACAAGAATTGATGAAAGCGCATGATCTCTGCTTGGATGAGCCAAATCGCCCTTCCCTGGATGCCCCTTGTCTGGGAGTTTGCAATAATTCCAGCGATGCCGTGACAAAAACGCCTTATATTTATTAAACACCTTATAGTGCTTAAAACACCGTTAAATACATGGCTTCGTTTGAACACCAAGCCACCCTTTGAAGTAGTCGGGACAGGTATTCCGGTTATAGTCGTTTTACAGCCAAGAAATAGTCCCGGAAATACTCAGTGGTCTGCCCTGGGGCACACACGCAGCATTAATAAGTAGGCGTGAGCAAGCCCAGACTAGAAGGCCAGACATTCTGACCCCGGTCGTCAGGCACATCACCCCTCACGGTTCTCAGGTAGGGCTTAGAAATACCCGATGTATTTGTCCTCTGCGAATTTATTTAATATCCTCTTAAAAGTATTTTCATTTTCAGTCCCCACCCACCCTTTGAGAAACAAGCTTTCCAAGTCACAGCGAGTCTTTCTGTTCTTCTCAAACCACCTCTAAGCTTACAAGAATAAGAGCACTTTCGCATTTTGCGATGTTTTTAATCATCTCTTGGTCTTTTATTATTTTATCCAAGCATTTCATATGTGGTTGGAGAATTTGGTT